TTGATCTGGGGTGTTTGGTACACACTGTGGGATGTGCCACTATGGAGGTGGCCTTGAGTCCTGGCTTGGGGTTAAAGTGTGGAGGAGAGCTTGTTCTTAGAGAAAAAAGCCTGGATGGGTGCCATGAGCAAAGAAAACTTATTCTCCCTTTGAAAATGTCTCTGCTACCGCAATGTAGGTCATCCCTAGCAGCAAATAAGCCAAATTCCCATCTTTGGCTACACCTGCACCACTGCAGAAAGCTCCCCCTCAGCCTCCCTGGCAGCAATGCAATCCTGAGCAGCACTGCCCAGCTCCCACTAGAGAGGATGACACCGATCCTGGGGCTGGGAGTGCTGGAAATCACCCCCTGCTGTGCCAGAATTCAGGAGCAGCAGCACTGCTCATTATCTGATATTAATAGTGTGATCTGAAGAGGCCACTGCCGCATTTGGGCTCTGAAGTTATGCAGCACCGTAAGCTGCTAAACACATAAAAACACATAAAATACATTAAAAGCATATAAAAACACATAAAAACCTCATATTACCCTCTAAGACCTTGATTGTCTTCAGTTTACTGTGCCTGCTCCACAGTGCTGGGCTTTACAAGGGACAGTATTCCAGCACATGGGACAAAACTCCTGTGTCATCACTACAGGCAGAGTGACTCGTGCTGTGCTCTGTGGGGACATGTGGAGAAACCAGGAGGTTTCAGTGTTTAAATTCAGGATAATACCTGGGATCCAGGAGGAAGAAAAGTGACTATATAGACCTATTCTTGTTCTTCAGGAGCAATGACACCCCCCAGCCCCAAAAGCTGATATTCTTCAAAGCCTTTTCCTGAGGTGTTTCACACTTGGTAAAATCAGAAGATGCTTTTCACAGTAACTTATGAAATACTTTTCTCCCCATATCAGGCTCTGCACAAATATTTCTAGTGAGGAAAATCTGTGGTTTGAACTGATGCAGGATGGTGTTTAGGACCATGAGCAGAAAGTTTGAAAGGCTCCTTACAGACCACATCTTCTAGTATTGCCTGCTCAATCTGACTCAGAAATCTCATCATTTTTCCCCCTGGGCATTTTGTTCATGGTTCCTCTGGGTTTGTTGAAGAAGTTGATGTATCTTTAATATATTTTATCAGATAAATGGTGTATTTGAGGTGCATGATGCACCAAGTGGCACTGCTGAATGACAGTCCTGCCCTCTGGCTCCTTGGAGGAAGGTGCTTTGTAGAAATCCTTTCTCCTGCTCTCCAAACCTTTGCCTTGATTTCCCCTCAACACACTGGACAGGGGTGCAACTTCTACACATTTGCTCACGGCCTTTGAACTACAGAGCTAATGTGCTACACCAGAAATCTGCTCTGAGGGGTCACCTAAAATGGCAGTAATCTGGATTAAAAGCAATTTAGAAGATCCCACGATTATGGCATGGTTTTGTTTGATTTGTGAGCAATAGCTGCTACTGTGAGTATTTGGAGTGAAGGAAAAACCACCACCTAGAAAGAAAAATAAGGGAGAAAACACCTTGAATCTCCCTAGCACCCCTGCCACGCACCTCCCTCTGATGGAACTGCCCTGCTGCCTCCTCAGGAAAATTCCTGCAGCTTTGCTTGTTGGAAAGTGAAAATAACATTTCATAAATGTCCACGGGCAGATTTCTGCCAGCTAGAAGCTTACAAGAGGATTTTTCAAAGGCATCTTTGACAGTGAGTGTGGTGGCACTAAATGAAGGGAGGAACATTTTGACAACTCTGCTCGAGCAGGTGAGGGAGGACACAGCCTCATCTCGGTTATTTCTATCTGGTTTGAGAAGGTGGAGAAAGTAGCCAGGCATCCTCCTATCTCACTCAGCAGTTTATCTCAAATTTACATAAACTAATCTATGCCAAACTCCTGTGAGAACAGCCCTGCCTGATAAGAACCTGCCCCTACGATGATGGACATCCCCCTGAAAAATCTGCTCTCACCAGATTTCGCTGACGAATCGGAATCTCATGCCTTAACCCACACATCATTTTGCCTGGAGATTATAATGCTATTTTAATTTTTCTACACTTGCTGTTGCAAATACTACAAAATGCAAATCCTCTGGTATGAAGATACAGTTATGTAAGACCTCATTCAAAGGGTCTTATTTAAGAATGTACTTAAGCATATGTTCAGTTTCAGCGACACATCCCAAAATGTGAGGGTCTTAAAAATGCACCTGAGAGTTTTCCCTCCCCTCTCAGGGATTTAAATAAAACGTTATCTGGTGCTATTTTCCTCTGTAGGATGACTTAGCAGAAAGAAGATTTCTTCAGACAAAATCATGTTCCTTTTCAGGAGAGATTCTTTCTGAAATTATTTGCATTAGAAGGTTTTTACAGTAATGTTTAAAATTCATTGCATAAGAAATACTGTGTCATGAAGGAAAAAAAAAAGACAAAATGAATTCTGCCTTTTAAGCCTCAGTTAAAAAAGAAAAGGGATATCTTGGACACACCATCTTTAGACAAGGGGAAGGGTGGGTTCAAGAGAACATGTCAGATGTTCACACTGGGGCACAATGGCAAAAGCAGCTCTGCAAGACTGGCAGGTATTTTTTTCTCTACAGTCTGTTGAAAAGACAGACTGATTCCTTTCCTAGGGACAGCAGAGAAGTGTATTAAGCTTTGGTTCATTCCCAGCATTCAGTGAAGAGAGTTTTTGGGAAAGGTGCCAGATACTATGGACCAAGTTCAGCTCCAGCCCAAGCAGACAGAATTCCCACTGAAATCAATGGGAGTTGCACCTGCTGACTTTGGAGTTGAATATGGCCCAATATGTGGATACTATAAAGGTTCTGTTTCCAAAGTTTCTTCTGGCTTGTTTTGTGGGAATGCAGACCTGGCGCCAGGAACGTCAGAAGACCAATAAATTCACTATGGGAACTTCCAGACAAATGACAACTCTCCCCCACAAAACAAATCCAGAAGCTCACACGATGCTGAAGGACAAATTGCCAGTGTTCCCCCAGTTCATTTGCATGAATACCAGTTCCAGAAATGCTGTGAGAGAAGAAAATGGGGAGTGTGTGGCTGGGAGAGATACGAGGGGAAATGCTTTGATTGGTTTGTCCAAATTATTTGGATAAATATTTAAATGATCCCAAATGTTTGTTAACTTGCAAGTTAACAAAAAGTGGTCCTAAGTCACTAAGGAGTGTATATTATATTTATACAAACTATTTGATGGCTGGTCTCAAGAACTGCTATTCTACATCTTCCCAATTTGGATGGAATTTAAGCTGTGACTGTCTCCAGGGGCAGAATAAAAGTCCAGACAGGCTAGAGGAGTCCATCCAGAAAAAAAAGCAGTAGCTTGAATGTATCCACGTGGCACTGAATACAGAGGAGTTAACAAAGGCATTATGTAAAGGAGCCAGTTTGTCTCTGTTGGGGTTATAATTGGCTGGTAACTGGGATTTAAACAAGTGAGATTCAAAGTCCATTTTTTGAGTAATTGCTGTATAATGGCACCAGTCTCCTCGGAAAGCACACGTGTTCTTGGCAAGTGGTTTGGAGGTAGTGGAAGCACAGGAAGAGAAAGTTAAGAGCACGACACAAGAAATAGTCTTGAAGGCCCTGCATTACAAAAGTAGTCAGTTTTAATTCTTTCAAAATTCTAAATAAAACCAGCATTAGATTCACAGCCTGTATGCTGATTTAACCTAAAGTTTGAAAGTATTTAAAGTTCATATTTCTAGTTCATTTCCTTGATAACACAAACCAAGAACTTTCTGTATTTGACTAACTTATTTAAATGCAGTCGTTTTCTAAACAAGGTGTGGAGAAGGAGACACTTCATTTCATGGGCATTGTGCTCACTCTAAACACTCACACGTGGAAAAAGGGTAAGGACAGAGGAAGGGGTTAAAGGCAGGGAGTGCCCGGGTGCTGATCTGATGGAAACCCATCTTTCAAAGGAATATTGTAACTTCTTGTAGTTGGCATGTCCTGGAATAAAAACTGTTTTAAGATTTCTTTTCCAAGCTGCTTATGATTAACAACTTTCTTTCCATGTCCTCCATCTCTAGCCCAATATTCCTTCTTCTACCACTAAACCCATATGAGTCATCCCTTTTAAAATCCGTGGTGGTCACACAGAGCACTCACACACACACAGAGCAAATTAGGGGAAAATTGATGTCAAGACCTATCGAGTATGAAGGGCCTTTTAAAACCAGCCTTCAGAATGTGCTAATATTTACACATTCCCAAACCACCTGGAAATATGTTCCAACAGCTTTAAAGCATTTGCAATATGATTTAGATGTATATGCAGCCATTCAGGGTTGCACATTAATTTACCCTAAAATCCAATTTGATCCAATCCATGATTTGATGTCTTTGAAAAAATACCTACCCAGCCCTGGATTTTATAGGAAGTCAAAAATCTTATTTCAGCCAAGAGGGAGTCAGGGTTTTTTCCTTGAACAATTTTGAGAAACTTTTTTTTTTTTTGCTTTTTATGCTGGAGATACAATTTATTAGTCTTAAGGCTGTGCTTTTCCATAATATTTTTGAATAAATGCTTTATTTCTTCTTGTAAATGTGAGATAGTTTGGAGTTCTTTAGATTTGAAGGAGTTTTGATGATAGCATGTAATTGAAGTGATGGAAATGTGAATAAAGATGAACACGTATTTTTGCATATATTGTGCTTTTATAATGTTTAGGTCCTTTTATTCTGTATAGAACTCTATCAAATGTTTGATATAAATTAATACCTACAGCCTATAATTCCATTATTTAATCCCCTGTTTACTTTATTTTGGGTTCCATTTATATGTTCTGCCAAACTAGAACAAATAATCTTAACTTTCATATATTCAGCTCCATCTTGAGTCAGCTGCAAATGTAGAGACAAACAAGAATTTTATTTTGAAATCTATCATAAAATAAGTGGTTGTATATCTAAAGTTTAAAAAAAACCCCAAACATCCCCCCCCCAAAAAAAAAAAAAAAAAAAGGAAGCAGATTGGGCTCTTTTAATGCTCCTGCACGTAACAGGGGTGAGCTTAAAGTCACTGGAGTAAATTCTTCACCTGTATTTCTTTCTTTACAGCAGCAATAATTATTCTCCTTACAAATGAACTGTGACATTTAATTGCCTATAAACACATTATAAGATCTAGTGATGATGTTACTAATCAATTGGAAAATGCAGCAAGTTTCTTCCAGGTATTGATACAAGCACGTCCCTCTCACTGCCGTGGATCAGCATCACATCATCCCTGGGCCTGGTTCACAGAATCCTGGAATGGTTTGAGTTGGAAGGGGCTTTAAACATCTTCTCTTTCCACCTCCTTTGCCATGGGCTGCAACACCTTTGCTAGACCAGGTTGCTTCATGTTCCATCCACATCCATATTTAAGTTTAAGATGTGAAAACCCAAAGTGGTCAATGAAAATACCACATAATACAGTAGGGACAGACCCTTGCTGCACAGTACATGGGGTAAAAATCAGATCCCTCTCCTTGTTAACTTGGTGAAATCCTTGCTGGTGATGTTAAAGCTCAAATGCACGTTGCTTTGAAAGAGTTAATAATACAAGATTAATAGCTGTTATAAGCACGTTGCAGACATCGGGAGGTTGTGCTATAAAATGCAATAAGCACATCAACAGATGGCCTGGTGGATGCTCATAAGCCACGGTTACAGGCACGCAATTGACCTGTTGGACTCTGCACCAATCTCCACAACTGACTGGCCACGTCTTCCAACACCTCCCAGGCACTCATTAACTCTTTGTAAACTATTTACACACACGCCATTAATATGCAGCATGATCACCTCAACACTGCCTGCAACAGGAGCAGGATAGAGCCCTAATTACTTGCAACAGTTTATTAATTCAATCCATTAACAGGAGGCAGGTTCTGACAGCCGGAGTGGGGAACCAGCAGGCGCTGGGAGCAGCTGGTCCCCTGCACCTCTGGCTCACTGTGCTCACCTTCGAGGTGCCTTTTGTCACAAATTTCTCACACCCAGAAGCACAAGAGGGGACGCAGGCACGGGGTCTGGTAGGGAAAGGGTTTGGCTGCTGCTGTGCCGTGCCACAAAGGCTCAGCGTGGCTGCAGAGTGCACTGACAGCCCTTTAAAACCCTGTCAAAAAGGCACAAACATCAGCATAATTTATCGGTGGCTATTTTAGGCAGGTGCACGGGAACTCTAAATATATGGCATTCACCGCTTGCTGCAGTTGCTATGGATATGATATCTCAGGCCTGTAACTAGGGTTATAAATGCTGTTGTGTGCTTATTATTGTTGTTGTTATTAAAACATGAATTTTATAGTTATTCCTACTCAGCTGCTGCCCTTAAATCATCCACGTAACTGCATATCCCTGGTTTGAAGGAGGGATGTGAATGGGAAAGAGGTAATAAACAGTACCCTTTCTTCCTTCTGCTTTTTCTTTCCTCCAGAAGGGAACAATCTTCAGCTCCTGCTTGCAGTAGTTTTAGGGCCAGGAGAAATAGAAATCACTCAGAGCCAAAGAAATATCCTTCATTTGGGTCTATCTGATCAGCTTTCTGGTAGTTAAATCTTTCACACATCAAACGTGTCCAATTGTTGAGGTTTTTTTCCCCTTCTCTTTGTCCTAAGAGGTTGTTCTCCTGCAGCTGCAGGATTCTGCACAGCCCTCTCCATGTTGCAGTGAGATGTTCACTTCTACCCTATTCCTGCAGATCTGGGAAAGAGAAGATAGTCAGAGGCCAAAGAGGCTCTACAGACAGAGGAGTTAATAATGCCAACCTGCCCACCCAGCATCCATCTGAGGTGTGCTGTGCTCCTGTCCCCTTGCAGGGAGGAGCAGTCAGGAGCATCCTCCTGCAGTCAGGAGCTTGTGAAGGTCATTGGTACAGGGTGTGATTCAATACAGAGCAAAAACTGGCAAAAAGTGAAAAACGTGGTAGAAAGGGGCAACCCACATTTTGCCCGGCTTGTTATGAGTCCATAAAATGCTGTTTATAAGGGACATTTGGAGGGGGGGAAAGAGTGAATTCCCAGAAAGAAGGATTTCTGTTTGTCTTTCAGGTGTACAAAACCCACTCACCCGGGCTGTGTAAAAGATGTATCACTCACCCAGGCAGAATTCCCACCTGGAACTCTTACCTACCCACACCTCCCCACAACAAGAACGTTCACCCTGAAGCAGAGGCTGAACAAGGTGAGCTGGCAGCAGCTCCTGGAGCAGACGAGGTGGCTGCAGTGGGTGCTCTCAGCTGCTGGCCCATGGCAAAGAGCTGCAGAGACCTTCCAAAAAGCAGCCCCTGGAGCAGACAGAGGCAGTGCTCCGTGGTGGCTGACCTTCATCCCAGGGAGCTGACATGGCTGGAGAAGGCAGGAGAATAAATTTCAGCAGCTCCTTTCTGCCGGTAATACAAAATGTTCAGAGGCATAAAGGTTATGACAAGCAAGCGTCTGGTAAAGAGGTCAGGCTGCCCTGAATGTGCTGCAGAAGCCAAAATAAAGTCTAGTCAAGCCTATACGGAGTCCGAGCACCGAGGCAGGGGAATGAGTGAGGCCTCTTCCTCCCCAGTGGTGGCCCCAGAAAGCAGTGGTGAGGCTGCTGTTAAAACAAAAGTATGGCTGAGTATGAGGATATTTGCCTTGGGCAGATATATGTTTTGAGAGACCAGGGTCAGTGGCTGTTTTAACCAAGTTGTTTCATCCCCACTGCCACATTTTCTGAGTTTTCCACTTAAGTGGCATTTTAAACAGGACACAGGTATGCTGGTGGCATTCAGCATCATGCTCTAGAGGGTAAAATGTGTGCGTGTAACCAGGTGTTTGTCCATCTATCTCAGGGACTACAAAGCAGTGGACAAAGGGGGAGCACAAAGCCTAGTGCAAACAGAGAGGAGGAATGATTGTAGAACCAACAGGATAGAGAAGAGGAGCCATCATTTTATGATTTCATCATGAAGCAATAATTGTTATGAAAACTAACTTTAATTTGTGCAAATTATAACTTTAATTTTTGCACAGGGTACAGGAACAGTGTGCTTGAGGTTTTCATTGTCAAGGATATGACCATGGTGTGGTTGCACATGTCGAAAAATCCTGATTTAAACATCTTCACTGAAAAGACCAGGAGCCCTGCTGGAGAAAGATGCCAACATACAGGAGCCAGATCTGATTAAAAGAGTGCACTACAGCTAAGCATGTGCAAGTGCATGGCTGGCACTGGAAGCTGCTGAACATGGGAAAGCATGAGGAAACATGAACATTGCACACAGCTCTCCTCTTAGGAGGTTAAGAGAACAGAGCTATGGGCACCTGGGCATTCACAGAAAAAGGAACTCCTCCCTCATACCTCCACAGAATAAAAGGTAAAGACATCCTGGCAGAATCCAGCCAGAAAATTACAAATTATGAATTTCACATCAAGCTCAGGAGGATGGAGAGCACTGCAAATGCCTCCCGTTCAACAATGTGCTGTTATTACCAGATTTTTAAAAACTTTTTAAAAGAATCTGTCAGATTCCACAAACAAACAATGTTATGACACCTATAGGGCTGTGTTTATATGAGAACTGTGAGCTCTTTGGGGGCACAGCACATCTTTCTGCTCTCTGCCTGTATGTCACCCAGTACAACAGGCTTGTCCACGACTTACCCTATTCGCCAAAGTAATGAAAGAAAGGCTATGTGACAAAAATAAAAGTTCTTTATGACAGCAGAATGATGAAGGATAGACATGCAGTTCCCACTTCAGCTCTGCCTTTACACAACAATACATTAATTGGCAAATAAGAGATTACAATTTATGCTGCATCAATGCCATGACATGCACAGAGAGGACACTTGTTCTGCTCAGAACCGGCGCCCATAGCAGCCACAGCTGTACCAAGCAACAGTAAAAATTTATGGCACATGAAGATCTCTCTGGTTCAATTTGAGGACATGAGAGCCTGTGTGTGGTTGATAAAATCAACGATAGACACACACATGGCAGTCCAGGATGGTTTCAGGTGAAAATGCCTGATTTCCCTACAAGGAATCTCAGGGGGGTTGTGCTACCACCCAAATGCACATAGTTTTGAGTTATTCTTGAATTATTGACAGAGTCCTGCATAGGTGTGCTCATGTGGCAGTCCTGGCCCTGTTGTACTCAGTGATGACCTTCCCTTCAATTTCTGTGACACAGAATTGAACCTTTCTGTCTTTCCTAAGGGCTACGAGAGCTGATGAGTAACTCAGACAACTGGACCATTCTCACAAGGCAAACAGTAGAAGAATGGATGTAGAAACTACAAGAAGAAAAACATGTACAGTACAAGGTTGTTGAAAATGATGGGGTAGCATCACTGAAGGATATTGTAATACAAGATGCTCAAGAGAATTCAGGTTTAAATGAAAAAACTTAATTTTGACATTTGCATTAATAATGTGACATTTGCAAATTTCTTAATGTACTTAAAAAAAAAACAACAACCAACAGCCTAGAATATAGCTAATGCTCACAGATGTCTGCTTTCTTATACTTCAGCATCATTTTGCTATCTCCCCATGCCAAAGTATTGCAACAAATCTGTGATTACTCAGGACACCCATATGCCGTGCAGCATGGCTACTACGAGCTCCGGTGAAACAGCGGGAACACGGCCCACGTCTTCCGATTCCGAAAAGCCCAAACCTCTTCTGCTTCAACTCAGCCTGTGTCCCCACCATTTGGGGCCTGGGTGTCCAATGTCATTGAGGGATACGAGTGAAGAGCTGAGAAACAGAGTGACAGTGTTGGAGCGTTGGATGGGACAGTGAGCACGCAAGGGGAGGACAGTGAGTGTGGATGGGGAGGTGTTCCACCGTGGTTTGTCCCCTGCACTGGGCCAAACCTTGGCATCTCTGTCCCTTGCTCCTGACCCACACCCCAGGGAGCAACGCTCCAGGGTCAGCCCTGGGCCCTGCTCAGTATGAAACTGAGGAGCAGCTTCCATTAAATGCCATAAATAAATAAACATGCCATGTAAAAATCCCAGCTATAGATCTCTCCTTCCTCCTAACACCATCCCTGCCTTTTTAATATGTTTAATTAAATTAATTAATTAATTAATTTGTCAGGAACACAGCAGCGTTTTCCCTGGAAGGGCTCGCTCGTGGGCTCTCCCGCCGCCCCACAGGATGCTCTCTGCTCATCCACCAGGTTTCCTTCTCCCGTTTCCCCGTTAGGGAAGGCCGGGACAGAGGCAGGAGCAGCGGCGGCCCCGCAGCATCCCGAGGCGCAGCATCTTCCCGGTCCCGCTCCGCTCCGGGTTTTTCTCGGCGCTCGCTCGCGCCGCCGCCGCCTCCGCGCGCGCCGCCGGCGCCGCCGCCGGGGCGAGGGGAGCCCGCGGGGGAAGGGAAGGCAGGCGCGAGCCCCGTCCCCGCGCGGCCGCAGAGCGGAGAAGCGCCGGCGGAGCGACGCCGAGCTCTTGTTTACCAGCGCTCACTCTCTGTCGTGCACAGGGAGGCAGCGCGGAGGAGAAGGAGGAGGAGGATTGAAGGGAGGGGGAGGCAGACGCGGCAGCAGAGCGCTGCGAACCCTGCTGCAAGCGAGCGGCGAATTAATCGGGAGGAGCAGTAGAGCAGCAGACCCTTCCCCCCCGTCTCCCTCCCCGCCCCGTTCCCTCCCCGGAGGAATTACAGACCCTTCGCAACAAGCTCCTGGGGTTTGACCTTCAGCAAACCGGATCGCCTTCCTCGCCCCCCGCAGCCCCCCCTGCTCACTCACACACACACAGACACACACACATACACACACCCACACCCCCACACCTCTCCCGGATCCCCCTCCCCCTGCCTTGGGCTGGGCAGCGCCGGGGGAAGGTTCGCAGCGCGCGCGCACCCAGAGGAGGAGGGAAAAGAGGAGGAAAGGGAGGAAAGGAAAAAAAAAAAAAAAAAAAAAGGAAAAGGACTTACAAATTCGCTGGGTGGTTTTTGTTGTTGTTGTTGTTGTCGTCGTCCTCCTCCCCCCCGCCCCCGCCGCGATGGCAAGGCGGCTCGGAGGGATGCGAAGAGGAGAGCTGCGGGGGGAGGAGGCGGGGTGCTGAGCGCTCCGCTCGCCCCGCTGCTGCTGCTGCTGCTGCCGCTGCTGCTGCTTTGTGTGTGTGTCCTGGATTCGGCTTTTTTTTCTTTTTTTTTTCTTTTTTTTTCTTTTTTTTTTTTTTTCTTTTTTGAGAAGGAGCTTGTGGCAGCCGCGCCGAGGAGAGGAAGAGGAGGAGTAGGGGGGAAGCCTTTTTAATTCATTTTCGACCCAAATTCTGCATTTCGAGCCTCTGCAGGCAGCCGGACTCGTGGTGGCGGCGGCGGTGTTGTTGTGGGTGGTGGTTGTGCGTGGGGTGTCCCCCCCAACCTCCCCGGCGGAGCGGGGAGCGGAGCCGCGGGGATCCCGCCGGGGCAGCCCCGTCCCCGCGCGGGGGGACGGCGGAGCTGTTGTTGTTTTGTAATAGGATTGTCTGGGTCGCGCCCCCCCCCTTCCCCTCCCTCCGCGGCCCTCCCAGTTTTTGTGTCTCTGTGTGTGTGCGTGTGTGCGGTGTTTGAAAATGGAGGTTGAAGATGCCGACTGCCAGCCCCGATGTGCCTCGTGTTTGCGGCTCCTGTGCACGATGTACCACCGCAGCCAGCGCTGAGGGGAGACGGCGGCGCCCCCCGCCCGCCGCCCCGAGCCCGCCCCGCCGCCCCGGAGACAGCGTCGCCCCGGGGCTTCCATGCCTTGTTGTTGTTGCCGTTAATACATCGTGAATATCTGTGTATTTTTGGTGTGGTTGCTCCGGAAGATCAACACCCAGGGACCTCAACAACCCTCCGGTTTGCCGCTCCGAAGGGTCGTGGTTTTTTTTTTTTTTTTCCCCTTCATTTCTTGAGGCAACGTGGATTTATTTACCCTGCCCTGCTGCTCCTCCGCCGCTCGTTATTTTTAGAGGACGGGGAGAGGAAAGAAAGCGAACAATTCTGGACTTCTTTTTGCTTTGTTTTGTTTTCGGAAAGGGGGATTTTGTCCAATTAAAGAAAGAGGAATGAAGTCTGGCGCTGGAGGAGGGTCCCTCGCCGTCGTCTGGGGGTTCCTGCTCGTCTTCGCCGCACTTTGTCTGTGGCCAACAAATGGGGAAAGTGAGTACAGTGCGTGCCCGGGGGGTGCGGCGAGGGACCCCGCCGTGAGGGAGCCCCCGAGTGAGGGGCTGCCGGGGAGGGGGCGAGGGCGGCGGCTGCCTGTGTGTGTTTGGGGGGGCGTGAGGGGGTTCCTGTGTTTGTGTGTGGGGGGCTCCCTGTGTGTGTGTGGGGGGGGGGTTATTCTGTGAATGTGTGTGTGTGCGTTTATGTGGGTGTTGTGCGCGTATGTGAGGGAATATTCAGTTCCTGTTAGTGCCACACCTTCAAGAACAATTCATTTTCAGATTGTTATTAATAACAAACATTGGCTCTGTGTGGATGCGTGAGGGGCTCCCTGTGTTTGGGTGTGTGTGTGAGGGGCTCCCTGTGTGTGTGAGGGGGCTGCCGAAGGGGTTCCCCGTGTGTGCCAAGGGGTTCCCTGTGTGTGTGAGGGGGTTCCCTGTGCGAGGGGCTCCCTCGCCGTGTGTGTGTGTGTGTGTGTGCGTGAGGGGCTTCCCTGCGTGTCTGGGCTGTGTGCGAGGGGCTCCCTGTCCCTGGGGGGCGGTTGTGAGGGCTCCCTGTTCGTACCGGGGTCCGTGTGAGGGGCTCCCTGCCCGTGCCTGTGAGGGGGGCTCCCGGGGCTCGCGCCGTTTCCCGCCGCGGCGCCGAGCGGGTCTCGCCCCTGCCCGCGGGGCTCTGCGTGTTTTCCTCCTGTTACGCGTCTGCTCCTCGAGCACGTTTAACAACCCGGGGCTGCGCCGCGTCTCCCTCCCTGCCATGCCCGCCTTCCTTCCCGCGAGGCGGCTGCCTGGTTGTACACACGGGTCGGCAGCACCGCAGCCCCGAGCCCGGCGGAGGGGGCCGTGCCCCTCCTTTGTGTCCCCCCCGAGCGCGGGGCAGCGCTCAGACGCCGCAGCCAGGGCTGCGAGCTGCGTAGTAAACACTCGCAGGCTGGGAAGGACGCCGCTCGCTTTCCCCGCATGGAAGGAGCTTGATCTCTGTCAATATTTAGAGGCTATATGCAATAACCTGCCGTAGCGAGTGAGGAATTCCTGGAAATGAACGCCTTGCCTTTTATTGCCGCTTTACCGCCGAGGAGGGGTTTCACTCGCTGTGCGCGGGGTGCGGAATTACGGCGGCATCCCGCAATCTAAAGGTCACAGGCTGCCGTTAATTTAAAAAAAAAAATTTAATTCGCACATTGACGCTTTACGTTTGTGGTGAAATAGAAAGGTTTGATGGCCGAACGCGCTGCGATCTTAGGGGTGATGCATTTTTCTAAGCGGCCGTGTTGCACCCAGCGCCGAGGCTGGAGCAGCGTGCGAGCCGCTTCCCCGGGAACGCCGGGAGAACGTGGATCGTGGTGCGGGCCCCGCTCCCTCCTGCTGCCGCGGATCCTCAGCCCATCCCCGCGGCCGCCCGCCTCGCTCGGGAGCTGCTAGAGCCCCGACTTTGTTTTTGTGCCTTTCCAACCTGTGATTGTGTTGCAGTGCCCGCCCCTCTCGGGCGCAGGGGGAATCGAGGGGGCAGGGAGGGCTGCGCTGCCATTGATTACACTGCAATCACCGCCGGATTAATCCCGGGGCTGATCGGTTTTCTCCTGGTATGTCGGGCTCACGCTGGATTGAGGATCTCTTGCATGAAATTAGCCTTCCCTTGTTTCCTGGAGTATCTCTGTGGACGGGGAGATGGTAAATGTGCCTTGGAGCCCAACCATTTTAAACAGTGCTCCCTCTCCTTCAGCGTCTGTAGAAACAGGGATGTTCCTGTACTGCATCCTGATGCTTTAATTTCTTCTGCCGTGTGTTTTTCAGTACCCTCCTGGAGCTGTTGTGTGCCTCTCTCCCCTTTCAGAAAGATACACGTTGTTGGAGGGAAGAAACGAGGAGATCAAATTTCTCCGTTTTAAATGTAAAGGGAAAGAATTTAGGAGGCAGGAGGGCTTTTCTAAAAGAAGTGGTTTCAGATTGAAAAGAAAGGGAAGTTCTTTGGATGCACTGGCAGTGAGGCTAAGTACACAAAAAAAGATAAGTGAGCAAGAAGCACATAGACGGAGCCTGTAATGCACGTTGAGTAATAATTATGTTTCGTTAGGCAGTAAATGCCTGTTAACTCATTTCAAATTAAGGCCTAGTTTTGGCTTTTGGGCCAGCCAGGGCTGGAGAGCTGCAGTCTTACTTCCATGAGTTGAACTTTTTGGCTAGAGCTGTTTTCAAGAGCGAAGATTAATCTTTAAGTTTAAAAACAAAACCCCCGTGCCCTTCGTCAGGGAAGGGCTTACAAAGGATCCAGTAGCGTGGAGAAACAGAGCAGGAGGAGGAGGAGATTTGGTGCATTCTTAAACTGCTAGGATACACACTTAGAATTGTTTTCCTTGTCTTACCTGGTACAAAGTACCTTGAAATAAAAATGCTCACCCAGCTCTGGCAATGAAGTAATGCAGGAAGAGTATGTTAGGATTTTAGGTTCTAGTCCTCTGAAGTGTTTGTGGTTACCACTTACCTAAAATGAGCATCCCGAATGAAATATCTTCTGAAGAAGATCCAGGCATTTAAATAAGGGAAGATATGCTGAAAAACTTGTCTTAGCTGAATACTGCCTCTAATCGATTGTCTTTGTAGTTTACAGTTTAATAGCCTTTGTTTTCACGAGTTATTGCTGAAAGAATTTTGCTGTTAGGGGGAAAAATGATCTCCAGAGCAGATGTTTTACATCTCTTCATATTCTTCTCTCTCCCCACAATAGTGGAAGGAAGATTAATCTTAATTTTTATTTGTTTTTCATATATACTGTGTCATAGCTAAAAGGCACTTCCATTTTCGGTCAAACAAGCAAGGCATTCCTAAATAGGAATACAAAGGAGTTACAACTGGAGGGGAGAGACCCATCCCTTTAATGCTAAATTATATAAAATGTGTGTGCATTTATGTGACAGAAACCTCTTTAAAATGCAGGTAGCTTCAGTGGAGAGCTTCTGATTCAGAAAAAGTAATTTAAAAATGCTGAGAATTCCCTGAGATTGTGTTAGAACGGCACAAAAATGGACATGAGAAGACCTTTCATTAAGCTAGAGTTTGTGGTGCTGTACCCGTGCGTTTGATGTGTAAAGCTACAACTGTTGGAGGCTGTTTGATGCTGGGGGTGGGTTTAGGATGAGGCATAAACACAGTGTGTTTTCTTCTTTTTCTCCCTAGAGCATGATGGGGGGTTTGATTTTCAGTGTATTTACAGAGGGAATGTCTAGGAGGGAACGGCTTAAACACTTAGAAGGAAAATAATAGTTTTAGGTGTGATAATACTTCAGATTGATGGATATCTTGATGGGTCTGCTCATGTTAGCGCCGAGCTTTTGTTTGTCTATCCAGGCTGGATGTTGTGTTTCTGATAATGAACAGTAGCTCATGCTGATGCTTAATCTCTCTCCCAGGTTGCTTAGTAAAGCTCTCATGACCTGCTGAGTGTCGGCGTTACGCACACCTCGCTTTTGCATCAGCATTTTCCTGTACACCCAGTGGTTAGGGAATGTTGGTAACTGGGAGTTGGATAATTCCTGCTGTAATTGAGGTTGTGAGTAGAAAATGCCAGAGCCGGTGAGGAATTGGCGTCAGGGGGGCTCAGCAGAAAGGGGAGAGGAGGGAAGTGTGCAGGGAGTGATGGTGCCTGGAGTCCGGGGCAAGGAGAGTGAGCCAGGCAGTACTTGGACCTTTTTTTGATTGTGTTGGGTTGGACTTCTGGTTTGCAAACCAGAACTGGAGCAAAGGCTTGTGTGAGTCAGAAACTGAGAGGGTTAGGAAATGGAAGGGACTTAGCTAATATCAGGCAAAATGTGTTGAACGTGAAGAAGCAGAGGGATGGGTGTGGATAAAGGGTGTGTTGTAAGTTTCAGTGTTGAACGAACATTTGAGGGAGAAACACCGGGGGGTTTTGTGTGTGTAAAGTGAAGAAAATTTAACTTAGTTTTTATGTTCTGAGAAGTGAGGGAAGGAAGGAAGGGGCTGCTGAGAGCAAGGAGACAGATCAATTAGATTGACTTCAGCACAACAGAAGACATGATTTATTTGGTTTAATAGGGAAATTGCTCAGATATGATCAACTACTGTGTTAATTTTCATGTCAGCTTTTCCCTGACGTGTTTTTCCTCCAAACTAATTCTAGCGTATAGTTAAAGCACACGCCAGTGATGCTGAAATTGTTTTCATCTTGAAAGATACACACAAAATCTAATGTTAAAGAGCATCCACGTGATGAGTTTTGAATCTGTCTTCATTGGTAAATAATTCATTTCTATCAGTATGTGTTACCATGGGAAAAGTTGTTTCAAATCCTGTTTAATTTTCTGCTAAACTGGCAATTTACTAAGGAGATCTTGGAGGAGAATTTTTTTAAAGCATCTAACATTTAAATTTAAAATCCATTTCAGGGCTGAAACTACTGGCTTTAAAGGATAATTTCAGTTCATGTTTAACTAATGCCTTTTCTCTTCCCCAGTAATTTCTGTTTTCTTTTTACTCTGAGGTAGATTTTACCAGTGATCACTGGAACGATTATCTCAGTGAGAGCAGAAGAGGCAGTTTTGTTAAATGATTAATTATATTGTGTGTATATTCCACCTGTGTGAATTGTGAG